CCATTTTGCAACTCCTTATGAAGATAGATCTCATCTATGATCATTAACTGTTTAGCTTCCCCCAAAGAGAGACAAACAGGCATTATTTAGTTCCTGGGGGAACAACTCAACAACAATTATGAAGCAGTTCTGTTGCTCAACATTAGGACTTGAAACTGATCTAGATGCAAGGTCCAGTTTGGAGGAACTGTTGAGGTGGAGGAGTACAGTGAATGGCTCCACAGTGCTCCAGAGGGTATGCTGGGTAGTCAGGCAGATATGAGCAGGGCAGGAGAGGCCCCCACCTGATCTCAGGTGATCCACCTGCCTCAGCCTCCCAAAGTGCTGGGATTACAGGTGTAATCCAGCCCCCATCCTGTCTTCCTCACACAGGTTTAATCCCAAACAGAGGCTTCCACAACACCATCAGGCAACTAGTCGGCCACATGGCCCCCAGGACAGCAGGGACCCTGGCCTCTGGCCCTCCCCTCCCCGCCCCCCGTGGCAGTAAGACACAAGGAGAGGAGAGGCAGCCAATGGCCTTCTAGGAACAACCCCCATCATCAGCCAAGCCATCACCACCAATTCCACAATGTTTTTATCACTCGACAAACCCCGGCCAGTAGCAGTCACTCCGGATCTTGCCCTTCACCCAGCCCCTGGCAGGGACTAAACTGCTTCCTGTCTCTGTGGATGCGGTTCTGGACACTGCACGTGAATGGAGTCGCACACTGTGTGGTGGCTTTTGTGTCTGGCTGCTTTCACTTAGCCCCCTGTCCCCCAGGTTCAGCCACACTAGCACGTGCCGGAATGCATTCCTTTGTAAGGCTGCATATTCCATTGTGTGTCTGCAGCATGTTTTGCTTATCCATCCATCCATCCATGGGGGACTCCGGGTGCCCAGCATTTGCTTTTGGATGTGGCTATTTCAGTCTGGGGCTCCCTGGGTGCAGGATCATGTGCTGACCCACCCCCATGAGCCCAGTGCCCAGACCAGGCCTGGCACAAGCCTGGTGTAGACTCTGTGAGAATTTTTTATTTTTATTTTTTAGACGGAGTCTTGCTCCGTCACCCAGGCTGGAGTGCAGTGGTGTGATCTTGGCTTACTGTAACTACTACCTCCCAGGTTCAAGCGATTCTCCTGCTTCAGCCTCCCGAGTACCTGGGATTACAGGCGCCTGCCACCACACCGGGCTAGTTTTTGTATTTTGGTAGTGATGGGGTTTCACCATGTTGGTCAGGCTAGTCTCGAACTCCTGACTTCAGGTGATCTGCCTACCTTCGCCTCCCAGAGTGCTGGGACTACAGGCATGAGCCACTGGGCCCGGCCTTTATGAGGATTTGTTAAACCAAACTGAACATTGGGTTATGTAGGGGACAGGGTTTTTCCATCTGTGGGTAAGTGGTCCTTGGCCACCCTCATCTGCTCTCTGGGAGGTCAGCATAAGGCCTGGTCATCTTCATGGTGGCTGTGATGGCTCATGTTTTCTTCCTAGGGCAGGAAGGCCATTGGCTGCCTCTCCTCTCCTTGTGTCTTGCTGCCACAGGGGGGCGGGGAGGGGAGGGCCAGAGGCCAGGGTCCCTGCTGTCCTGGGGGCCATGTGGCCGACTAGTTGCCTGACGGTGTTGTGGAAGCATCTGTTTGGGATTAAACCTGTCTGAGAAAGGCAGGATTTGACCCGGTGGCCCTGTCTGGTGGGTACGGAAAGACCTGGCATCTCCCCATGGCTGTATGGCTGTGAGTGTTACCCTGGCTCTGAGCCACTTCCTCATCCTCCCAGCAGGAACCCAACCGTTGGTGACCAGCAGGGGGCAGTCGTGTGCTTAGTCTCAGGCCAGCGTTAGACTCCCACTCTGGGACTTCCAGCAAGGGCCTGAGTGACAAGGTGACATAGAGCTTCTGCCAGGGCCTGGGGTCAGAGTCTGCGATGTGGGCACAGACACCCCACCTGGTGTTTTCCCTGCAGTCAGGTGAGTGGGGACCACGTGCAGCAGGGCCTGAGAACCATCAGTGGCATTTTGGCTGGGCTGTTGCCTGTGCCTCCCAACTCCAGGGCATTTTTGGCCTCTACTCCAGGTCAAAGCTGTGCCTGGGGCCAGCCTTGCTGGTCAGCAGGAGGTGGGAGTTTCCACACCCTGCTTCCTCTACCAGTTGCTTCTGCCCTTTCTAGGAGCTGAAGGAGTGCCTGGAGGGAGACTGAAATTGGCTTTGGAGCCACTGATGGCTCAGAGTCTGGGCTCAGGTGTGACTCACCTGGCAGTTTGAGGAATGTCCAGTTACAGGACAGCTGCTGCTGGCCCCTGTGGGGGCCATGCTGTGACCTTGCAGGAGACAAGGGGAGGGTCTGGGCCTGCAGGGGAATGTGCCATGGAGCAGCCACACAGGCCACCAGCTGTGCTGGCACCTGAGGGTGACATAGCATGCTGGGGCCCCAGTCAGCATCAGTGATGAGCTTTCTTCATTTCCAGTCCATTTTCGCTACGTGGTGTTTCATCCGTTTCTCGACGAGATTCTGATCGGGAAGATCAAAGGCTGCAGCCCAGAGGGAGTACATGGTAACAGTGGCCCTGATGCCTCAGACAAGACTTGGGAGCAAGGTGGGGGCAGGTGGGGCAGGTGGTCTTTGCCCGTCCACATGGTTGGGGAGGGTGCAGGTGTTGAGGCTGAACCTTCCCCCCTCACCCTCCCTTTCCTGTATTGTGTGGGAACCTCCATCAGCAGTGAGGTTTCACTGTGAAGCATCACTCAGGACTTCAAGGTGGGCACTGAAGTTGGCAGAAGTGACTGGGAGTCTTCAGTGCCCACTGGTCCCTGTTGTGTGCAGAGGTTTTGGGGACCAGGTGCTCCAGGCTTTGCCCAGGGCTGCTTGGCTGTGTGGGTGTTATAGGCAGAGGCATTAGGTGGGGAAGGGACCTAGGTTTCCACAGTGACATCTGCCCCATAGGCAGCCCCAAGCAGGGCTTGCCTGTCTAGCATCCAGACCCCGCAGTGTTTGATGTCCTCTGGGAACCCCCATCTCAGGCAGTCACCTGCTTCCTTCCTTCCAGTCTCTCTAGGCTTCTTCGATGACATTCTCATCCCCCCAGAGTCACTGCAGCAGCCAGCCAAGTTGTATCCTCCCAAGGTTAAAATGGTTTGTCACAGAGGAGCTCAGGCCTCTCAAAGGTAGGTCCCCACTCTTTAAGGTGGCCTTTGGGTCCTCTAACCTGATGCCACTGGCCTCTGTGCCTATCCCCAGCCTGTGCTTTTGCTCCAGAGGCACCAGCCTGTCTTGCCTACCAAGCAGGGTGTGATGTGATGGCCATGTGCCTGTCTTTGCAGTGCCATCAGGCTTGGCTGTCTGGGTTGTGCACTGCATACCATTAGAGCCGTGGTATCCTGGGGGCACCATTCACTTCTGGTTCACTTAGCTTAGGTTGTCCCTGCAGGAATCATCTTAAAGATCACTTCCCCTGGAGGCTTGTGCTGGTCTAAGGCCTCGCCTATGTGCCAGGTCCCGAGCTAAGTGTCCCTCCTGGGCCTCCGTTCTCCCCGTCCCACCTCTCACCCTGCTGTACTGGAGTTGTCTGTTTCTGTGGAGCTGTCCACGAATCTGAGACTCCTTGCTGGTAAGGACTATCGTGTCATAGCTGTACCAGCTGTACCAGTGCCCAGCATGGGACCTAGCACAGAGGCAGGACCTAACAGTGGGACTGCCACCAGAGAACGCATGGCTCCCCCGTGTGGGCTCTGCTGGGGAAGATGGAAGGCCAAGGGGGGCTGACCTGGCTGGGTGGCCGCATGGCTCTGGGTCTGCGCGTGACTCCAGGATGTGTCAGAAAACTTGGCACAGCCCAGCTGGTCCTCTCACCAACTGTCATCAATTGGGCAGGTCACCTCCCATCCCACTGTGTCCTCCTGAAATCAGCAAGTCCTTGGGTGCTCATCAGCGTGTCACAGGCTTTGATGAAAAGGGTATGGGGGGGTCCTGTGGCAGGAGGCCCAAGTTGCTCGTCCTGAGAGGTGGGACTTGTACCGTCTCATCCCCTCCTGCCCTGATGCTCTGAGATTCGTGTGTGTCTGCCCGTTGTGCCTGGCTGGGACCCCGTGTTCCCCATCCTGGGTCCTGGAGAGTGCTTGCTCCTCACTGTTCAGCCCAGGCTTTGCACATGGGGCTGGGACCTGCTTTCCCTGTGATTTCCAGCCACAGTGATCTCAACCTGGGATTGGGGGTGGGTGCTGAGGGAAGCCCCTCCGACAATCTGGTTGTTGCCTTGACCCTGGGCCCCCTCAGTGATGAAGCGGAGCAGGTGTGGGTGTGGGAGTATGAGACAGAGGAAGGAGCGCACGATCTGTACATGGACACCGGTGAGGAGATCCGCTTCCGGGTGGTGGACGAGAGCTTTGTTGACACGTCCCCCACAGGGCCCAGCTCAGCAGAGGCCACCACTTCCAGTGAGGAGCTGCCAAAGAAGGAGGCTCCGTACACGCTTGTGGTGAGTGGCCCTGATGGTGTTGAAGCCACTGTAAGGCGGGAGATCCAGTGCAGGGCTGGGGTCTGTGTCCTTGGGGCTCTGTCCTGGGATCTCCCCCAGCAGGTCAGGGATCTTGTTGGGGGGTCTTGGCTGGTTAATACATTTTTTTTTTTTTTTTTTTTTTTTTGGAGACAAAGTCTCGCTCTGTCACCCAGGCTGCAGTGCGGTGGTGTGATCTCGGCTCACTGCAATCTCTGCTCCAGGGTAGCTGGGATTACAGGTGCCCATCACCACGCTTGGCTAATTTTTATACTTTTAGTAGAGACGGGGGTTTCACCATCTTGGCCAGGCTGGTCTTGAACTCCTGATGTGATCCACCTGCCTCAGCTTCCCAAAGTGCTGGGATTACAGGCGTGAGCCACCGCGCCTGGTCGAGCCTGAGTTTCTATAGGCCAGGGTTGTGAAGCAGTTAAGGTACGTGGCTACTGGTTGGGGCTGTGGGGGAGATGAGTCAGCTTGCAAGGCAGACAGAGCTCACGCTGGGTAAGACCACTGATAAAGAGGCTCTGAGGCCAGGTGGAGTGGCTCACATCTGTAATCCCAGCACTTTGGGAAGCCAAGGTGGGAGAATTGCTTGAGGCCAGGAGTTTGAGACCAGTCTGGGTAACAGAGAGGCTGTCTCTACAAAAAACAATGAGCAGGACATGGTGGCATGCCCTGTGCTCCCAGCTACTTGGGAGGCTGAGGTGGGAGGATCTCTTGAGCCCAGGAGTTCAAGGTTGTACAGCCTGGGCAACAGAGTAAGATCCTGTCTTTAAAAAATTGGGGGGTAGGGAGGGGTTTGAGGGAACAAGAAATCAAGGAGAAGGGGCTTGGGAGAGATCAAAGTCCTGAGATTAAGGGCAGGGCTCCCTGTAGGAGTAGGACTGAAGCAGTGAAATAAAAGGGAGGCTCCAGGGAAGAGTGACTCTCAAGGCTGCTCCCTGTTGGATGTATCTGGAGCACGGGCCTCGTTTGCTCAGCCTTCCTGGCTGGATTAGAGCCTAGGTGGCCCAGGAGGGCAGGCCTGAGGGCAAGGAAGGGTCCCTGACCCTCTCATTGGGTTCTGGAGAGGGGTCTCCACCCTGCATGCTGCAGTGTGCCTTCCAGGAGCACTGCTGGGCCCCCTTCACCTCTTGTCCAGGTTGGTTCAAGCCTGAGTGCTGGTGAAGTGTGTATATTCTTTCTCTATCCCTGGCAGGGATCCATCAGTGAGCCGGGCCTGGGCCTTCTTTCCTGGTGGACCAGCAACTAGTCATGGGGCTGGACTGTGAACCCCTACCAGCCTTCGGGAAGACGGTACAGCGGAAGCAGGAGCGTGAAGGCCTCTTTCTGGGAGACTCCATCCTGGCCCAGCAGGGAAGCTACAGGAACATGGGGGGCAGGGCTGCCCTGCAGGTAGAAGTGGGGTGGGAGGTGACAGGTCATTTCTGCCACACCTCAGGTGTCCTTCACTGCAGAGATAAATCCAGCTGTGGCCATGGCTGCTGGGTGTACACTGACCTTGACTGAAAAGACTCTTCCTGGACCCTGGAGTTGATAGCAAACAGCACAGACACCACTCACTCACAGGAATGGTCACTGATTTTGGATTCTTGTTTTCCTTGCAAGAACAAAAGGTTCTCTAGAATCCTTCAGGCAGGAGAAAAACTTTAGATGGGAGTCTTGTCATCAAAAATAAATACACTTGCATGGAGCTGCTTAAGATCTGAAAACTAAACATAAGAACACAGGGGCTAAAAAGTTATTTTAAGAATCCCCACCCAACCACAGTCACTTTGTGGGCTGAGTGGGAGCAGGAAGCATGTCTGGTCACACCATCTTGGAATAAGAAGCCATGGCTGGCCGGATCGGATCCGCTGATGGTGCGTGTGGAGCTGAACTTGAATATGAAAACAGCGCTGGGTGGAGAGGTGGGGGGAGGCACCCTCACTTCTGCAGCTCCTTCATTCTGTTGAGGGCACTGCCGGCACGGAACCACTCGATCTGTGTCTCGTTGAAGGTGTGGTTCAGGAGGATGGTCTCCTGGGTCCCGTTGGGGTGCTTGATGATGCATTTCAGGGGCTGCAATGAGAAGGTGGAAGTGGTAGGTCCTGTATGCCATCGGCCCTTCAGGGGGCAAGGGAGGCAGGGCACTGCCTGGGGACCTAGGAGGTTGGCAGGCAAACCAAATCCTAGTCCTGTCTGTGCCTGGGTAGCCCATGTCAGACCAAGACGGTACCCACAGGGGATTCCTGGGGCCCCAAAGGCCTTGCACAAGTGGGCTGTCTCTTGAGTGCCAAGTCCTGGTGAGTAAGTGGGGGTTAGAGGGCCAGGGCTGGCCTCAACCACCAATTCTGGGAAGGTACTTCCCTTCTTCTCTGTGGGACCACCTGGAGAACTAGGGGCCTTTCCAGCTGGAATGAAGCCTCCTGGGAGAAGCTCCCCTGGGGCCTGTGCAGGACATGGAGCAAAGTGGCCATCCCTCACGCCACCCCATCGGGTAGACCTGGCCCCCTAACCTTGCCAGGGGTGAAGTCCTTTAGGCCCTGAATGGTCAGCTTGTCCACAGGGTGAATCTTGTTGTAGTCGGCTGGGTCAGCGAAGGTCAGGGGCAGTAGGCCCTGCTTCTTCAGGTTGGTCTCTGGAAGGCAGGGGGTGTTCGGTCACCAAACGGGCCTGAACAGCCCGGAGAGCTTCATTTTTTTTCTGTTTTTTTCTTTTTTTTTAAGCTTCATTTTCTGAACCCATCTGGGGCTCTGGGAGATGCCCCTAATGCTGCTGCCTGGGACAACGCCAGGGCTGTGACTGCAGGGCCCTGGTGTGCTCCCTTTCACTAGGGGCACCCCTAGCAAGTGTGCGCGGGTGCTGATGGCTGCAAGGCCTTCCTGCTACACATTCATGATGAGAAAGAACCCTCTGACACGTGCCCTGGATCTCAGCAGCTCAGGTCTCCAAGCCTGGAAGCAGGGCTGCCGGGAAGCTGAGCATCAGATGTGCACTGTGTGAGCCTAAGAAGGGGCAGGAGGCTGACAGCCCGGGTGCAGGCTCCAGCTCACCATGGATCCTGGCAAAGCTCTTGGTGATGATGGCCCGGCCCCCGAGGTGGCGAGGCTCCAGCGCTGCATGCTCCCGGCTCGAGCCCTCACCATAGTTCTCATCGCCGATCACCACCCACCTGATGCCATGTTTCTGTCAGGCAAGCAGAGGTGAGATTATAAGGCAGAAGAGGGCATCATCCCCACCTGCCTGGCCTTATTCCCCTGGCCATCCTGAGGCTGGAGGGGCCCTTCCTTAACTGTTCCCTAAGGGCAAGTGAAGCCTGGGTGAATGAGGCCCAAAAGAGGCCCTGAGGGGACAGAGGTGCCTGGCTGTTGCCAGTGGCACAGGAAGACAGTCCACCCATTGGTGTTTGGCAGGGAGGTAGGTGTGTGTGGAGGGAGGTTGGGGAGAGATGGGGATGACCTATGGGGCCCCACACATGATCCATCCTTATAGCTCAAGGTGACCCCTTCCCGGGAGCACCCGCTGCCCCACCCAGCCTTCCTCACCCTGCTGGGCCAGGACTCGGGGTCAGCCCTAGCTCTGTTCATTTCTCAAAGCAGAATAAGTCACATAACCTCAGAACCCCTCGGCCTGCTCACCTCGAGGTCCCATGTAGCCCCTCTCTGAGCCTGCTGGCCTCTGACTTCCCAAGCTGGCTCCCCTCCTCCTCTTGGTCTGGGGCCAGATGTCTCCTGGGTGCTGCTCTAACACCTCCTGGTGCAGGGACCCTGCCCTATGACCAGACCTGGGCTTTGTGCCCACTCAGCCACAGGGAGGTGCCTGCAGGCTTCTCCCTTCAACGCAGTCCCCTTTGGGGTCGGCTGGTCTACCCAGTTTCCACTCCCCAAGTGTCCTCCCTGCCCCTGCCTTCTGGGCCCCTTCAGGAGTGACCACTGGCACTGCCCCCATCAACTCTGACCCACCTTGTAGTAGCGGGCAGTGTCAGGGACGGGGCCAAACTCCTGGGTGACAGCATTGCGCACAGAGTTGGCCTTGCCGTTTTCAATGTTGATGGCACCAATGAGCAGGTTGTTGGAGATGTTGTCCAAGTGCCCACGGAACTTGAGCCAGGGGCCAGCAGCCGAGATGTGGTCAGTGGTACATTTCCCTTTGACCTTGGGTAGAGAGCAGAGGACAGAGATCAGTGCATAACCCTGGCAGGGCGGATGACAAGCTCTCCAGAGGCACACAGCAGGCCCCAGGGCCCAGGAGGGGTGACGGGTGACAGGCAGGCCAGGCTTTGGACATGTGGTCTGTGGTCCTGGTGCTTCCACCCTGGGGCGACGTGGGCTCAGGCCAGGCCATCACCCATCCCCTCAAAGGCCTCTGGCTGCTTAGTCTTCCTTAATGGGGCAGGCTGCCCACAGTGGGGGCAGGTCAATATTCACACACTTTTCAGGCCGAGGCTGCAAGATCAACCACAGACCTCATGCCAGACACAGAGGAGCCCAGAACATGCCTGGGTCCTGGCTGATAACTATGTAGATTCTTCTGTTACAGGGGTGCCTGGAGACCCCTTAATTAACACCATAAATGAATATCCAACAGATAGGCCTCTGGCAACACCATAAAGGCTTTTTAGTTTCTAGTCAGTGCCAAACAGGCGGTCTCATATTCACTAGTGGCCAGCTGTGGGGACAGGAGGAATCCATGGCTTGCAGAGCCTGTGTGGACCTGCCAGGTGTGGAGCCTGCTGTGCAATCTCACACCCTCCCAGCCCAGCCTGAGCTGCATTCACCTGCCCACACCCAATGGAGGGGGTTCTCATCAGCTGCTGCCGGATGGCTGAGGGCCCCAGACAGAGGTTGGCCAGATGCAGCTCTGCCCCGCTAGGTGCTGCAGAGAAGTGGAACGCTGGATTGTGATCCCTCCCTGTTCTGCAGCCAAACCTCCCTTCAATCTCCCACCTGTAACTTGACTGTTTGCTCCCTTCCTCCAGGTTCATGGCCCTTCCGGATGCCTGGGGGTGGGGGCGCCTGGCAGGGTGGGGCTGTCCTGCCATCCCCATGCTGCTGACCTTGATGAGGATCTGTAGGTCCTCCAGGTCCTTGCCATCCCACTTGTCAAAAGGCTCCAGGAGCTGCAGGCGCTGGCTGGTGGGGCTCACATCAACATGCTGCCCGCTGCTGTCCGTTGGGGGGTGCTGATAGGTGTCCTGCCCTGGGTCAAACTCCTGTAGCAGGGGAGGGGGATGCATGGGAAGCTGAGTCCTCAGTTCCCACAAGGACAGTCTCAGAAGGGAAGTTTCCCCAGGCCCCACCTCCGTTCCTGGGGAACAGAGTTGCTTCCTTCTCACTAGTAGCGCCCGCCCTGCCTGCACAGGAAGGAGGTGCTACGGCCACACAGCAACCAGCAGAGCTCCCCAGGTGAGGCAGGTTGGCAGGGGAGGCAGGTGCTCACCGCTTTTGGAAGTTCATCTGCATCCGGAGCCTCCAGCTTGAACTTCTTGCCATCCTTGCCCGTCAAGTAGTCAGTCTCTGGGTTGAACTTGAGGGTTCCCGCAATGGCCAGGGCTGTGACAATCTGAAATGGAGGGGGCCAGTTTGTTGGTCAGCACCAATCACCACTGCTATCCCCTGCACCCACCAGAAGCCTAGACCAAAACTGAGAAAGGAACGCGAGAAATTTCCACGTTCTCTCCAGACCTCTGTTCCTCAGAGGCCAGAGCTGCAGGATGATCTTTGGGACCCCGGCCCTTGGGCCTGCAGAGGACTCAGGAAGCCAAGGGCAGTGTGGCCTCCATCCCTGTAGAGATGGGCTGGCACTGCTGTCCTCTCTCCTCACAGCTGTCCTGGAGGGAGCAGGAGGCCCTGGCACAGAAATGCTGCTATAAAGCAAAGTCTCTCAGTGCAGAGAACACTAAAAGCATGGAGGGGGCCGTTCCTTCACCCATTTAGCAAGAATTATTTGTAGCCGGGCGCGGTGGCTCACGCCTGTAATCCCAGCACTTTGGGAGGCCGAGGCGGGTGGATCACGAGGTCAAGAGATCGAGACCATCCTGGTCAACATGGTGAAACCCCGTCTCTACTAAAAATACAAAAAATTAGCTGGGCACGGTGGCACGTGCCTGTAATCCCAGCTACTCAGGAGGCCGAGGCAGGAGAATTGCCTGAACCCAGGAGGCGGAGGTTGCGGTGAGCCGAGATCGGGCCATTACACTCCAGCCTGGGTAACAAGAGCGAAACTCCGTCTCAAAAAAAAAAAAAAAAGAATTATTTGTAGAACACACAGGTAAACAAACCAGTCAAGAGAGACTGGCCATGTGCCAGTCACACTCAAGGCTAAATACAGCCAAGGGCCCAGGCTCACTCAGTGGCCACAGGAACAACGGCAAGGCCTCACTTTTGTGGAACTCCTACCTGGGGATGGAAACTGCATGTCCCACACATTTTCAGGTAATCCTGAGGATTATGGGGACACAGAGAAGGTAGGTGACTTGGCCACACTCATACAGTGAGTTAGCAGGGCTGGGATGTGTCCCAGGCAGTAAATGACATTTCAAATTAAATGCTCATAAGCGCAAACCACTGAATAAATACCTCATAATCCTGAGACCCCGAGAGCCCCAGGCAGGAGGCACCAAGGGAGTGTGTGCCTGGGGCCGGGAAGGCCTGTGGCTCCTGGCTTCCACTTGGATGACCCCTGCCCTGTGAATGCCACCCCCAACACTCA